CTTCCTCTCAAGAGTTCAAGAAAAAAAATCTGCTCATCATTACTTCTATTTCAATTTTCAGCCTCTAATTCCTTTCTTTTAATCTAATTACCCCACCATTTACATCTCCCTTAAATGAGTCTTTTCTTCCACTTTCTTTTAACATTTTTTCAATTAAGCTTTTTGGAGGTAATTGTAAATTTGCATGCAGTTGTGAAAGATAATGCAGAGATCCTCTATGTCTTTTCTCCAGTTATAGTTTGTAAAACAAGTGACATTGTCAGGGTACAAGTTTCCATCACCACAAGGCCACAAGGACCTCTCATGTTGCCTTTTATAACAACACTTCCCACCTACTTCACCCCTTTCTTTAATGCCTGTCAATTGCTAATACATTCTCCATTTCTACATTTTTTTTATCAGGATATTTAGATATGTGAAATCACATGGTACATAACCATTTGGGATTGGTGTTTTTCCCTCTTAGCATAATATGTTTAAATATTTAATCCCATTTCATCCAGAATGATGCACGTATCAATTATTTGTTTCTTTTTATTTGCTGAGTAATGTTCCACAGCATTGATGTACGACAGTTTAATCATTCACTCATTGAAGGACATCTGGTCTATTCAAGTTTCTAGGTATTGGGAATAAAACTGCTATAGATATTTATGTACAAGTTTCTTATGAACAAACACTTTCATTTCTCTGAGATAAATGCTTAGGAGCACAATTTGCTCAATCACATGGTAGTTATGTGATTAGTTAATTTTAAGAAACTTCCATAATGTTTTTAGTGACTATATCCCCACTAACAATGTATGAGTGATCTAATTTCTCTGCATCCTTGCCTGCATTTGGTTTTATCATTTTTATTTTGTCTCTTCTGTTAGGTATATTGGTATATAACATTATGGTTTTAACTTATATTTTTTAATGGCTAATGATATCAATATCTTTTCATATACTTCTTTGCCATCTGTTTATCTTCTTTGATGAAATCTCTTTGTCTTTTGCCCATGTTCTCATTAGATTACTTCCTTTTTTACTTTTGAGTTTTGAGAGTTCTTTTTATATTCTAGCTGCTAATCTTTTGTTGGGTATGTGATTTGTAATATTTTCTCTCACTTGTAGCTTGTCTGCATATTCTCTTCATGGAGTCTTTTGAAGAGCAAAGCTTCTAATTTTTATGAACTCCACTTTATCAATTTTTCCTTTTATGGTTTGTGCCTTTAGGTGTTAAGAATTCTTTGTCTAGCCTTAGAACCTGAGGATCTTTCATATTTGTTTCTTTTGTGATCCATGGTGGTCTCTTTTGAATTAATTTTGTGTAAATTGTGAATCATAGGTTTATTTTTTATATATGGCTATGTCCAGTTAAAATAAATTTTTAGTTACCATTTGTCATAAAAGATTATCTTTCCTCCATTGAGTTGTTTTTGCATATTTGTCAAAGATAAGTTGGCTCTATATGTTTGGGTCCATTTCTGGGTTTTCTGATCTTTGTTTCTATGCCTCTACCAGTGCCACACAGTCTTGATTACTGTAGCTGTATAGTAAGTCTTAAAATCAGACAGACTGATTTTTTTCCCACTTTATTCTTCTTTTTAAAAATTGTCTTAACTTTTCTAGTTCCTTTTGCTTTCCATGTGAATTTTAGAAATATTAAGACTGAACTGGCCCTTGAGGCTTTTGTTATGATTGTAAGATGTCTTGCAGCGATAACCATTGGGAAAAATAGAGGTTTATTATTTATAAAAACTGGAAATTATGCAGCACATGGGGACCGCAGTGAGGTCCATATGGGGGCAGGGAGAGGAACATGGACCTGGGGTTCTGCTCTAATTGAGACTGAGAGGTGGGGAGGGTTTAGGATTTCATGAAGTTATCTTACCTGGCAGAGTTGTGGGGAAGATGAGATGCAAGATGTGTGGGTCTCCAGGAACTCACGCCTGGTGGGGAACCAGACTGTGGATGAATCATCAGAACTGGAGAGAGGATGGAAATAGAAGGGCATATTTTCAGAACTCTCTCTAGTGGCAGGGATGCCCTGACTACTGTGGATCAGGGAAGGATCTTGTGAGGAAATGCTTCAGTTAAAATAAATTTTTAGTTACCAAGGTAGAGGGTGGGGGTAGCTCATAGCAGAAGAGACAATACTTGTGAATGTTCTGAGGCAGAAAGGTCCTTAACAACTCATAAATTACAACCAGTTTTTAAGACACCTGCCAACACCTTTATCATTGAATTTTAGGAAACTGGAGCGCCCATCCTAACTGACGATGTCAGCCTGCAGGTGTTCATGGATCATTTGAAGAAGCTAGCTGTCTCCAGTGCCAGTTAAACTGAGGATGAGAACTGGAGAAGAAAACACTTTTGGATTGTGTTCACAGTTGTTTATTAAGGCTCAATAACATTCCTTTCACTTTTCTGGTGGGTTTTAATAATAAAATATTATATGGAACTCTTTATAATTTATTTGTATCCCTTATCAGTGCCCATTTCTTGCACCATAAAACTTAAGGTCACAAATGTTTTGGTACTTGTAGATGTTTACATGATTTTTGTATACTAACTTCAGTCTATATAAAATCAGAGGAAATGTATTTTGGCAACATACTTAAATGAAATTATAGTGATCAAGGAAGGAAATAAACCTTAATGAAGAAAGCACTGCTAAAATAATGCTAATACAAATTTGATTCATAATTTTTATTTGTGAGTGTGTGTGTGTTATAAGCAACTCCTCCAAGAACTACTTCTTAGACTTACTTCTCATTTTTTGTCTAAATGTTAGCAAAGAAAAAGTATTAAATATGTGAAGTTTTGTTGAAGGAGAATCGCCTAGAGTGGCACTTTCCTAATTTCTGCATTCAACATTCATGGAAACAGGCTAACCCGATAGACATAAAGAGTGATTGAAAGGCACAGTGGCTTTGACAGAGTGATAATACATTTCACTTGGACATCAAGTAAATTAAATGGTCTGGTTCTGTTTTTTAATCAAGGGAGTATACGCCTGGTAAAAACTTACCCTAAAGAGTTTATAACAAATAACAGTTCCCTTTCTTCCCTAAGCTACTCTTCAGAGGTACCTGCTTTCAAGTTTTCTTTATTATGTTAATTTTAGCAGTATAGCTTCTTTCCCATTTTTGTAGAATGAGGATATTAAGACTTTAAGAATATTAAGATTGACTTATAATCATAGTTTTGTCTTTTGTCTCTAAATTGGTCCTGAAAGTTGAAAACGAATAAAGAGCATTTGTACAGTTGTGATAATGTAAATACTGTTCATACCCGAGGCAGGTAATAATACATATTTCTTCAGTGATTGATGTCCCATTCCCTACATCCTGTGGCAAACATTCCAGTGACAAAGCTAGAATCACCTTTCTTAACTTTTATCATTCCACAGGTTGCTTTGCTTCCTATTTGAAGTATGACTTATATTTTCTGTTTTTTTCCCCTAGAATTTCTAATATTTGTCTTTTTGATAAAACACTGTTCTCTTTTAAGAAAGTCCAGCTTCTACACAATATAGTCTATCCTTTACAGGTCCCTGATATCCCCTTTTAACATACACCAATTGCTATGCAACTGTTATTCAAGAATTTATTTTATTTGTACTCTTGGGTCAGTTGTCTTTTCTTTATCCCATCAGTCATTTTGGTATCTTCTAAAAAAATTAAATGGGGCACAATTCACTGAATCTTTTTGGCATTTGTATTTAACAACTTTACTGAGTATAAAAATCTAGTCCCAAGATATTTTTCTCAGAAATTTGGAGCCATTATTTTACTCATTCAAACAAGTAATTTTTCAGTATTCTGCACAAAGTAGACTTTTAGGCTCTGAGGATTTAGCCCATAAAAGAAATTCCTGCCTACTTTAGGCAGTTATGTTTTAATTAGGCAAGACCAACTGTAAAAAAAATTAGAAATGTTCTATGATTTGCCAGAAGGTAATGAATACTATGTAGACAAGTAAAATGGGAATTCCTATTTATTGGATGTTGGACCATATGAGTTCATTCTGATGCTGTTTTTTTTGCATTTGTGTTTACTGTCTTTGCCTCTGCTCAAATTTATGGATTTTCTATACTGAAGTATTTAACTGTAACATTTTAAGTGCCAAGGGCTTTTATTTTCTGCTCCTTTTACAGAAAAAAAGTTCCTATTTTTGGATGTAATTTTGTAATTAAATTTTAATCATAGATGAGTACATTAAATTATAGATTAAGGTTGTAGCTGATCCTCCTCGGGTCATTCTTTTTCCAATTAACAGAAGAGGAAATGTGATAGACCCTGCTCACTCTGGTGTTCTCTTTACTGACAATGAGTTAAGGAGCTGGAGGAGCACCACTGGATGACATAATAAAGAAGTGGTGGCAAAGTTGGGGTAAGGGGAGTTGGGAGGAGGGGCTGGACAGGTGAATCTTGACACACGGGAGAGCTAGAAGAAGAAAGGAATTCACATGTATAAATACCATTTGAAGCCTATGTAAAGCAGTTGTTAATTTTTCAAGTAAGGGCCTCCCTGGTGGTGCAGGGGGTTAAGCACGACACTATGAAGCAACCCGCAGCCTCTGCAGCACAAGTTCGAGCCCCTGCCGCCAGGGAGCTGCCCACATGGTGAGGCAGACCTCTCCTGTCTCGCCCCCTGCTCCTCTCAGCAGTGTACTTTGGTCAGTCTGCCTCTGGTGAATCCTCTCACACACACACCCCCACCAATATCTGGCCTATACCCCAGTTTCTGTATGCATAAATAAATAAATCTTTTTTTTTTAAAAAAGAATTTTTTAAGTGAGACCTCAGCTCACAGAAATTGTCATTCATGTTCATTACGTGCTGTGCCAAGTCGTGCCCACGCACGCACGCACGCACGCATCGCAGCTAGAAACCTGCCATAGCTCCAAGGCGGTGCCCGAGCCTGGGCTGGACTACACGCCCCAGCATGCCTCGGGGTAGCGCGCCGCCGGCTTCCCGTTGGAGGCGGTGGCTGTGACGCGCCACCGGAAATCCCGCCCGCCCCGGGTCTCCGGTAGACCCAGGCCTTCCCCGGGAGGGACCATGCGACCCGAGCAGGCCACGGCCTGGTACCGGCGGATGTCCGCGGTGTACGCGGCGGGTGCCTGGACCCTGTTGGGCTCTTTGTTTTTATTCGGCCGGAAGAAAGTCTCGCCACCAGGTAGGGCTCGCCCGCAGGTTCTGCGCGCAGCTTCCTGTGCGACCTACCCGCGGAGCCCGAAGTGGCTTCTTGTGCTGGGACTCGAGCCCCAGGGTTTTCTGCAGAACCAGGCGGAACAATTGCGTAGAGCCATTTGTTGTAATGGAGTCTTCCAGGAACTCCCCGTTAAATCCTCTTGACTATATCTATGTAGTTATTAAGACTGTCCCTCATACTCAGAATTTAAAGGATCTGTGAAAGGTTTCATGTGAAATTTCAAAAACTCTGGACAGTGTTTGAAAAAAATGGTGCCCCTTAACACGTCCCTCATCGTGTCACTGGACAGGGAGCGAGGAGGCGAGGTGGGGAGGGGGAGGCCCTGGGTCTGATCTCACCCTCAGCAAGCCGGGAGCGAACCAAGCACTATCCTCGGCTCCACACTCTGGAAATCAGAGGGATGGAGTGAGGGCCCTGCACCCAAACCCAGGAACAGGCTCTTGAGACCCTCTGGTCCAAATTGAAAAAGATGGTTTCACAGACGCCGGTGACGACTGGCAAGGAGCCCGCGTTTGTTGATTATGGAAAGAACAAGAAAAGAGAACTCAGGAGAGACCTCTTTAGACATAATGGAGACCCTATGTGTTGCTGGGGCTTGGGGTCTATATAGGTTTTAGGGCTGGACATTTAGAACAGAGGAATTAAATTTTATTGGCTGAGAAAGCGAGTTGAGTGGACTTGGCAAATGTCCATTTATTGTTGCTAATTTTGGGCACCATTCAGCTGCAGCTCTGTGGTCGTGCTAAACTAGTGACCATCTCCACCTCATGGGTGAACATCTCATGGAGACTCTGTGCCCACAGCTCCAATTTGAACTGGTCTGGCTTTTCTGAGTCTGTAATTCAGAAGCTGTAACTCCCTTTTCTTTTCATAGCAGTCCACTTGATAAAACTGTGGAACCGTAGCTTAGCAATGTATAGGCTGCGGAAAATTTAGTAAAAAGACACGATGGGCCAAGGAAATTGATGGCTTTAGATCTCTGAACTTAGAGTCATTAGGTTTGTTTAACCTCTTGTTTACCAGCCCATGGCAACAGCACAATTTTGTCATGAGTCCTGTCCTTGTTCTGGGTCCCTTCCTGCCTCAATCACATTAGAGGAGGGAACAATTTCAGGGCTTCTACCTGCCAATAAATACTAAACTCTTGCGGCAGAAAAGGAAATCCTTCCGCCTTCAAACATATGCTGGAAATCTGTTAGAGACATAAATTAGTTTAGAGGTTCCCAGGACAGAAGAGAGGAGATGAGTATTGACTGATAAAAGGCATAGGGCTTTTTCTGTGGGTGAAAATATCCTAAAATTGCGGTGCAGGTTACACAGATCAGAATATACTGAAAACCACTGAATTGTAGTTTTTAAATGAGGTAACTGTATGATAATGTTAAGTATATCTTAGTAAATTTGTTCTGTAAAAACTACAGATTATCTGTAGTGATGAAGAATATGGGTGGTCTGAAAGTACACGTGTTCAGCATTGAGCATTTAAAAACATTTCAGTGTCTGTAGTGTTCATGTTTTATTTGTTACTCTTTTAACTTTTTAAAAGAAAGATGGTGTCATGAATCTGATGGGGATGACGTTAGTTCTTACATTCATTTATTTCATTTCTAAGACTTTAATAATTTTAACGATTGTTTTCTAAGTTAAAAGTTAATAATTCAGCTATTTAATTTTTTCTTTAAAGATGGTGAAATAGAGGAAAAGAATGTCTCAACAAAAGAAATAACTGAGCACCCAAAAGGGTTTTATGTAGAAACGATTGTCACATATAGAGAAGATTTTGTTCCAGTTACTGAGAGGATTCTCAACTATTTGAAATCATGGACTGGTGGCCCTGGATCAGAATCATGACTGACTGCTGAGTTCACAAAATCAGGACTTCATGTCAGCATATAAATTTGATAGATGACTTGATTTCTGCTTCATGTCTGTGAAAAAGTGTATACCTTTAATTAATATTTCTGTAAAATAGAACCATTAATAAAAAATAATATATGTTTCCTTCTGTGAAAGGAAATTTGTATATTCAAATGGTGTTCTCTATACTTACCCTGAATGGCTGAAGGGAAATTTCACACTGCACTTCAATAATCTTGGTTTTCTGATACTAGTTCATACTATAGGTGTGCTTCTACTTCTACTTGGATTTTCTTATGAACAGATAAACTTACTGCATCGATAAGTGCACTGTTATAAATGTATTTTCATTATGATTTTCTTAACATTTTCTTTTCTCTATTTTATGTTATTGTAAGAACACTAAATAATCCTTTGTGAAGGACATTGGACCACTTCCAAAATTGGAAAGGGGTCAAGGAAACTGGTTAGAAATGCTGCAGCCAGGATGTAACCCCTGCTGGATAGCTGCTGAGTACAGGCATTGGGAACATCGTAATATTGGGAGCAGGCTTCTCCTGCCAGGACCCTGCCTCTGATGCTTCTGACAGCAGGGAGACTCCCTTTCCCCCCTCTCCCCCCCAGCCAGAATGACTTACCACAGCCACCTGGCTCCCGTTATTCTGTCTGAATCTCATTTTCATGCAGGGACAACTGATGCTGTCTTGGTCACAGGCTTGGACCCTAACTGAAAGGAGGCTGGGAAATGAGTTTTCTGGCTTCTTCATCCTTCTCTTGATGTATGGAGTTTTAATGTGAGAAGTTTCCTAAATATATTTGAGATACTCACATGTCCAGGCAGTAAGCTAGACTTTCATTTGGAGATATCAAAATAACCAGAATCTGAAGGTTAGCTTCTCCAGGAAGGGTCCTCTAGTCTCTCCCTGGAGGGTAGATGCCTGGTTGTAGGGATTTTGGGAGCTGTTTGGGTGTGTGTGGGTCTTACTCTGAATAAAAGTTTCTTGTCGTTTGTTGCCACATCCTTGTTCTCTATTGGCTGAATTCATGAGGATCTCCAAGTAGAAACCTCGAATCTCCTCTGTAAAGTTCAGGGAGGTTACTGGAGTAGGAGTGGGCAACTGGGGGGTCAAATGCTTCTTACACAGACTCAAAAATTCCTCTATTTCAGCATCCCCACTACCCCTGCTTCTCTACCTTTTGCTTCCAGTTACTGAGCCCTTTCATATTTCTATAAGACTAAGTAAATGGCTTCTCCCCAGTTTCCCCTTGCGGGCCCTGATAAAGATTCTTTGCTTAGCCAGACTAGGCTCCTGAACCTTCTCTTGGCCCAATATCTGATAACACTCAATATCAGATCTGGGTCCTGATACTCCACTGTTCTGCAGATAATGTCTATACCCTGGCTTGTCTTCAGCAAGAATCCTTTTGGTCAGTTTAACCAGGTCCCTTCTCCCGCATACTTCATGTTTTCTTTGGGTAATTTTGCATCTACTGACCCTCCTGTTCCTTGGCCATAAATTCCCATTTGCCAATGCTGTATCAGGAGTTGAGCTGTATTTCTTCCCCACTGACAAATTATATTCCAGTGGTCCCTACGTCCATTCCATAGACAATGTGCCCTCTCCCCACAATGTCTTCCTTACTGTGCTTTAACAAGGGTCTTTGAATAACTGTCCTTAGGTTTCCATGTTTGTGTTGAAGGCCACATCCAAGGTAAGGTGTATTTTGAGTGGGATTCCTGAAAGGGAAAAAGTATGTGGGGCTTGGAGTTGATATCATGGGAGGGCTATTTGGCCATGTTTTTGTATTTGTCCATCTCAAGTTCAGCATATATAAAAATGAACATGGAACTCTCCTGGTATCAGTCCATTTTCAGAGATGAACATCACTATCCAATTGTGTGTTGATGGTGTCAAAGGTAAAATGCCTAAATGGCTGGTGTCAAAGAAGCAGCAAAATTTCTCCAGGAAACTGAAATTAACCCAATGGAACTGAAAAAATATGCTTTTTAGGACATTGTGCTCCAGTGTGTTCTAGGATGCAGAGGACTGGACTTTAAAATTTCTGGGTTTCTGGGGAGCTCTGCATTAACTCATTTCCAAAATGACAGCTATGGCCAAAGTATATGTGGTTATGAAGTATGCTTAGCTTATTTGACTCAAGGATCATTTTCCAAGAGAATATCTACTTCTCACCCAATACTGAAGAGAAGATATCCCCTTTTTACAGATAAGAGTGCTGAGGCTAAATAAGGTTAAACCATCCTCAGATCACATAGAAAGTGGCGAGCTAGTATAGAAGCCAGTGTTTTTCTGGCACTAAAATTAAGCTTTGCTAAAGAACGTTCCTAATGACTGAGACCTAGAAGACAGATAAATTATGATGCATACATACTACAATTCTAATATATATATAGTCATCCTGTGCAGACAAAAACAACCGTACAGTTACTAATAGATAACTGTAAATCTATGATACACTGTTAACCAAAAATTTGAATTCGCACATTTATTTAGTCAGCAGTATTAACTGGACCCCAGGCACTGTGTTAGTGCATGGGCGACACAAATAGAACACAACATAATAGGCAATAGAGTAATTGAAAGTTGTCAGAAGATTCTGAGGGCAAGATGACAGGCTGGTGATGGTGAATGAGGGAACAGTGACACCAGGGTGTGTTCTCTGGGATCCCCTTTAGGGGATCTGTGATTTCCAACTTTTAAAGAATAATGTAAAGACGTTTGCCTTTTCATATTCTTTCAGGAGTGTACAATGGAGTTTTCCAGAATCTCCATGGTATATTGCTCTGTGACCCCATTGCTTTAATGTTAATATACAATGGATTTACTATTGTCATTTTTAGATGTATTAAAAAGTGTTTAACAATGTTTCTTAGTTGTAATTTCTAACATTGTATATATCTTTAGATTCTGTATAAACAAAAGCTATTTGGGGGCCTCCCTGGTGGTGCAATGGGTTAAGCACCGCACTATGAAGCTGTCTGCAGCCTCTGCAGCATGAGTTCGATCCCTGGCCAGCCAGGAAGCAACCCACATGGCAAAGCAGACCTCCCCTGTCTCGCCTGCTGCTCCCCTCAGCAGTGTATTTCAGTAGATCTGCCAGTTCTCTTCCCACTCTCTCTCTGGTGAATCCTCTCACCCCCTGTGCCTCTGGCCTGTACCCCAGCTCTTGTATGCATAAATAAATAAATCTTTAAAAAACAACAACAAGGCCTCCCTGGTGGCGCAGGCAGTTGAGCCCTGCACTGTGAAGCTGTCCACAGCCTCTGCAGCGCGGGTTCAATCCCAGCTGGCCAGCAAGAAATCCACATGGTGCGGTACACCTCTCTTACCTGGCCAGCTGCTCCCCTCAGCAGTGTACTTTGTCAGTCTGCCTGTTCTGCTCTCCGTTCTGGCTCTGGTGAATTCTCTCACCCTCCTGTGCTTCTGACTGTACCCAGTGCTTGTATAAACAAACAAACAAACAAACAAACAAATAAATAAATCTTTTTTAAAAAAAAGCTACAACAACAAAAGCTATTTGGGATGCTCAATGGTTTTTAAGAATGTAAAGGCATCAGGCCTCCCTGGTGGCGCAAGGGGTTAGGACGCAACCTATGAAGCTATCCGCAGCCACTGCAGCACGAGTTCTTCCACAGCCACTGCAGCACGAGTTCGATCCCTGGCCAGGGAGTTAACCCACATAGCACAGCAGACCTCTCCTGACTTGCTTGCTGCTCCTCTCAGCGGTGTATTTTTGTCAATCCACCTGTTCTCCTCCCCAATCTTTCTCTGGTGAATCCTCTCACCCCTCTCCCCCCCACACCTCTGGCCTGTACCTCAGTTTTTGTATGCATAAATAAATAAATATTTTTAAAAAAGAATGTAAAGGTGTCTTGTGATAAAAATGTTTGAGGTATGCTGATTTAATGAAAAAATTTCAAATTTTACCACTTACCCCAATGACAAACTTTTTCTCTTTTTATTTTTCTGACCTGGAAACAAGCCAATCTTAAGCATCACACTTAGTTTTCCTGTCTCTTTAGAAAGCCCCCTTTAATCTGGAGCAGTTCCCAGATTTCCTTTTCATTTTTAAGAATTGACTGTTCTGTAGAGCGTTCCTTAATTGAACTTTGATATTTCTTCATGCATGATTGGATCCAGATTATACATTTTGGACAGAAATACCACAAAACTGATGTGCTTGCTCAGTGCAGTTAGGGAGTGTACTAATTTGCTTGTCTCATTACTGTGATGTTTGCCTTGATCATTAAGGTAAGTTAGTATTCAGTATGTAACATTCAAGCACACTATAGTCTGTCATCATTTCTCATCAAATGACTGTTTCTTGTTCTCCATTTGAATGATTTTTCTTATTGGGGAATAAAAGTTATCCCTTGTGCTGTTAGAGTCTCTAGTTGGATCTGAAAATTAAGCTGTCACAGAAGAAAAACATGCACATTTATTGAACATATTTTATATGGAAAGGGAAGCTTTATAAGGTGGTGAAGACCCAAATAAACAGATCTATGTACTTTGTTGCTGGATTTGATGAAGAGGGGGCAGCCCTGGAAGAAAGTGATAGGTTAAGTAGTAGGAGGTAAGTGCAGTAAACTGGGAAATACTTAGCAAGGCATTTGTTAGGGATTCTTCTTGGAGTCCCTTTATCTTCACAAATCACTATGTTCCTGGGGTGGTGAGGATCCTCACATGTAGTTTTCTCAAATTACTACAGCTTAAAATAGTATGCCAAGGTGCCATATTTTGGGGTAGCATGTCTTCAACTATCCATGCAATTACAGGATTATGAAAAGACACCTGGAGAGGGAATTCTTTTTATCAGCGATAATAATTTTTCAGGATAAAATTTGCACAATCCAATGAACTTTTAAAGCACCTTTATTTTGTATATTTCATGTAAATCTGCTAACAGCTCTGCTGGGGGGGGTAAATATTAGTATTTGTAATAGAGGGGAAATTAGAATTACAGTCTCACATACACGTAAACCCGTGCAAAGCAGGGGTGAAGACTGGGCAAGGGGTTGGAGGCGCTAAGGGTTCAGGCGTGGCCTAGCGGCCGCGGGTACCATGGGGGCGGGGCCTATCCCTGGATGGGTGGGACGGAGGTAAGGCCGCAGGTGGGCGGGACGGGCGTGGGTGGGACCAACCTGTGGGTGGGCGTGGCCTACGTGGGCCGGCCGTTGCCGTCTGCGTTGGCTCCGTGGGCCCGGCGCACTTCTTGGTGTCACCCCCAGAGGGCGCCGGCCGCAGAGCCGCCCGTGGAGTCGCGAGGCCGGAAGGAGCGCGGCGCCGCCCAACTCGCCCCTGCCGCCGCCATGAAGGCCGTGGTGCAGCGCGTCACCCGGGCCAGCGTCACAGGTCAGTCGGGCGGGGCCGGGCCCGGGAGGAGCCGCCCCCGACCCCGCGCGGGTCCTTCTCCGGCCGCCCCCGCAAGGGCCTCTGCGCGTGATCCCCCGGGCCACCCTGGCCTTGCGCGAGCGAGGTTCGGGTAATCCCAGTCGCTCGGCGGGATTTGGGGCGCCGCTGTGGCCAGAGAGCACAATCCATGTGGTTGGACGGCCCCCTCGAGCACCTGGCTTCAGGACCTCCGATTTGGGTTCATGATCAGCGCCCATTATCATCATCATCATCATCATCATCATCATCATCATTATTATTTTCGTTGTCCAGTGTAGAGGGTGGCAGAACCTGGGATGGTTCTGTGGCCTATTTTTGAATGAAATGTTGCACATACAACGTGTAGGGAGCATTTCCAGAGGGGTCGGACCTCTCCCTTTCTGATTTTGTTTTTTAAATCTTCCATACTGCTCAATATTTACATATCCTAATTTTTATGGAGCTTGACGCCTAATAAAATGCACAGTGTGAAGAGTTGTTGATTTGGATGAGTTCTGACAGTTGTGACTACCACGTGACCGTCGCTGACTACATTGTCACAGAACGTTGTTCCCAGATTCCTCATCCCAGATTGGTCAGAATCTGAAGAATTCAGTGTGAAGCATTTCTTTTCCTTTTCTTTCTTCATTTTTTTTTTTTTAACCAGTTTCTGGTGAACCAAGCCACAAGTCATCACTCCAATCTAATTTGAACATAGTGGTCCAAATGATTAATGTTACAAAAAACTCAAGCCAAGATAATAAAGATATTAAGTAAATATTTGAATGACAAGTATTAGATTGTCTTCTAATCTTCCTTTTTTGGCGGGGAGCAAAAAAAAAAAATTATTTCAGTTCAAATAATTCCAGCTAACCTATTCTTCAGTTTTTCGCAACCACTCTACATCAAATTTGTGTTCTTTTGACCACAGAAGTATAAATCTAAAAACAACAAAATCCCCTAAAGAAACAACCAAACAGCAAAATCAATTATTTAGGTCTGAGATCCTACTTTTCAACCCGGCATAATGTCCTCTAAGTTGTTCTGGTAGCCCCTTTGGAAATGGTGCTTCTGTGATAGAGAATAGAATAGCACTGGGATTTATGGAATTTTAAAAACAAAGGTTTTTTGTGTTTTTTTTTTAAGCATTTCAGTAAATATTTAAGTTCACTAAAACTGGGAAAACTCATTGATGAAAATTTTTTTTTTGCTGTTTTGAGAATCTTGCAAAATGCTCAAGGTGGTCATTACCAACAAGTAAACTTTATAGAATTTAAGTTTTGATCTGCCCTCTCTTGAACTCTTTATCCTGCTGATCTAGAATATTGAAAATGTGAATTGTCAGATTTGCTGAGTAGAGTTCGAGTGAGTTTAGTTTACTACTAATATTAGCTGCTTTCAATGAGAACAAACCAACTTGCACTTTAAAAAAAGTGTTAATATAGTGGGAAGGTGTTAAAAATTTGTGTTATTAAAATGGGATTTTCAGTGCTTTGAATTAGCTAGGACTTCTAGTTGAATTATAAAGAGACTTTTTGACTCCTTTAGAATGTGGTTTGCTTCATTAATGTTGGCTGTACTCAAATGGCATTTTATTTCAGGGATTCTAAGATGTCCCTTCCTATTTTATGGTTGGGACAGAGAAGACTATTAGCAGTCACATTTTATTAAGAGGCAGTTTCACTTTATGAGATTGGTCAGACACATTTTGATGCCTTAGCATGCTTATTGTGATAATCTAATTTGAAAAGCTTTATTATGAAACATTTCAAGCATTTACTTGGTTACACAGATGGAATAATACAGTAACTATCATGTCCCATCACTCAGCTTCAGCTGCTAAAATCTGAATCGAATCAGAATGTTGGGAGAAGGATCTAAAATGATTGGTTTTGAATGTGTTAATTTGGGAGTTTGTGAATTCTTGAAGAAGGGACCTCAGTCAAGAGTATTGCCACTCATACGTGGAGAAATTGACTAAATATTTTAGATCTTCTAGTCCTATGATCTTTTGTCTAAAATGACGATTCTCAAGTTTTTCTCTTGGCAATCCATTTATCTATAGGAAAAGATGCTTTTGAACCTTTTATTTATTCTACTTTTCCATGGAGGAAGGGCAAAACTACTCTAAAATAGAAGAGCAAACTCAAATGTACAATTTTGGAGTTAGTTTGTTTTCTATAACATAATAGTACATTATAGAAATGTTGAAATTTGGGGTGGGATGGGCATAACAAAACAAAATAAAACAAATGTTGTGTTGAAACTCTTCAAATAGTGATTTGAATCACTTCAAATAGTGATTCTCTTTTGAGAATCTACTCTAAGAAAGTAATCCTAATTACAGACAAAGCTGTAGGGGGATGAATAGAACACAAAGGATTATTCAGGTAGTGAAAATATTCTGTATCATACCACAGCGGAGGGTATTTGTCATTATGTATTTGTCCAAATTTGCAGACTGTTCAAGACCAAGAATGAACCCTAAGTTAAACTATGGACACATAATGATGTGTCAGTGTAGGTTATGAATTTAACAAATGCATTACTGTTTTGGCATATTGCTAATGAAGGGGCTATACATTTGTGGGGGAGAAGGTATATGAGAAATCTCTGTACCTTCTGTTCAATTTTGCTGTGACTCTAAAACTGCTCTTAAAAAGTAAGGTCTATTTTGCTTTGGAAACAACCCAAATGCCCAAAAATAGATGACTGGATCAAGAAGATGTGGTACATATATACCATGGAATATTACTCAGCATTCAAAAAAGATAAACACATGCAATTTGCTGCAACATGGATGGCGCTGGAAGGGATCATGCTCAGCGAAATAAGCCAAAAAGAAAAAGAAAAATACCGGATGGTCTCACTCATAGCAGGAATCTAGAAAACTTAAATAATGGACCAGGAAAATGAAAAACTATAAGAAAGTGAAAATCAAAATCAACAAAAAACTATGAACCAGAGACACTTTTAGGGGGGCGGGGGCGGGAGGGGAGGGATTGGGGTCAGAATGGGGGGCGGCAATTGTATGGGGAATATAACAATAAAATTTATAAAAAAAAAAAAAAAAAAAAAAGTGATTAACAGGAGAAAAACAAAACAAAAAAAAAAAAAAAAAAAAAAAAAAAGTAAGGTCTATTTTGGAGCCTCACTGGTGGCGCAAGGGGTTAGGACACAACCTATGAAGCTATCCACGGCCACTGCAGCACGAGTTCAATCTCCAGCCAGGGAGAAATCCATATGGTGCAGCAGACCTCTCCTAACTCGTCTGCTGCTCCCCTCAGCAGTGTATTTCAGTCAATCCACCTGTTCTGCTCCCCACTCTGTTTCTGGTGAATCCTCTCATCCACCACACCTCTGGCCTGTACCCCAGTTCTTGTATGCATAAATAAATATATCTTAAAAAAAAGTAAGTTCTATTTAGAAATTTTCAAAGTGTACAAAGATTCTCGCTGTAGTGTTATTTACTGAAGTGAAAATTTGGAAACAAACCATGTATAGCCAGTTAAATGAGATGGCTAGTCAGTTCATTGGATGGAATCCTAGTAGTTCCACTCAATAGGATGCAGCTAGTAAAAGGTGTTTAGGAAGAACTTATGGAAAAATTCTTATGCAATATTAAAGAAAAAGACAAACACAAAATTTTCTGTACAATGTTATTATAGTACTTGAAAACAAATGTGAAGTAAAACCTGGAAATAGAGAAAATGTCCAAAGGAAATCATTAAATGTTAAAGTGCTTGTCCTGGGTATTCCCCCCCCCTCCATTATATTTTCCAAAATTTCTGTAATGTATTTGCATTACTTTAATGATGGATGTAGCTCAAAAATTTTTATTAAAGCTTTAAAAACATACTTTGGGGGAAATTAGAAAAAAATGAAATTATAAGGAAACTATTGATTTATTTAAAGAACAAATTTAGCCAAAGCTTTTTCTACAGCAGAGCAAGCAAGTAACTCCTGTTTATTACCTATGTTAGGATATATTTTATTTATTTCAGCTTTTTAGTCAGCGGCTTAAAAGACAGTAAATCATTCATTGTCCTTTGTTAGGAAAGCAGTACAGAAGAAAACGTTAAAATAGTTGTTCCTTTAAATATAAAAATAAGAGAAATTTAGGTTTATTAATATTTGAGGAATGGGTTGGTACTGGTACTCCTGGGATCTGAATGCAGTGCTTTATTAGACTGCTCGACCATCCTTACTCGCCTCTTTTGGGATCTGAATGTCAAGTAATTCATTGTTTGACACCTAAAAGACGACGGGGTTTTTTTTTTTTTTAGTGTTGGTGGAGAAGGATTTTTTTAATTTATTTTTTACATCATTGTTCATTTTTAAACAATATTTGCTTCTCCCCACCCCCTCAGGTGTAGTCCCCATAGAGTTTCCTTCACCAATGCACCTGTGCACCATCACCTCAGTCCCCTGTGCTCCTCCCTCCTCCCTCTGGTCCCTCTCCCTCCTCCTCCCCTGCAGGATGTCTCTGATTTATAATTTTCTGTTTTTGCTTGATGTGTTTTGTACTGTTATTATTTTTTACCCTGATGTCTTATTTCGTTCCCCTATATTCCTCCTATAAGTGAAACCATCCAATATTTTTCTTTTTCCTTCTGACTTATTTCACTGAGCATAATTCCTTCTAGCTCCATCCACATTGCTGCAAATGGCATGAGTTTATCTTTTTGATTGCTGAGTAATATTCCATTGTGTATATATGCCACATCTTCTTGATCCAGTCATGTATTTTTGGGCATTTGGATTGTCCGAGTTTCTTACTTTTTACTTAGCTTATAGGTTGTTACGACTTGGCATAGTTTGTGTTTATGGGTATTGTTATCCAACAGAAGCTAGCAAGAGAATGGCGTAGTAGATCCTTCTGCTTAGAACACTACATGATTAAGTAACAAAACATCAATAATCTAATGAGGTTTGGCAAAATGTTGGCCCCAAATTTTAAACTATATATTTAAATCACCATTGTAATAATGTATCTTAGTCTAAGTATGTGCCAGCATTAATATACTGTCTCATGGTAGTAGAACAGCATCGAGATACTGTCTGGTGGTAGTAGAACATATTTGAATATAATACATACACAAATGTTTGAAATGGGTGTATATGTTCAGAGTTTTCTTTTTAATGGGTGACTGCAGCATTCAAAAAGATTTGAAGATCATTGGGTTAGACCAAAACTTTAGTGGCAAACTAGGAAATGGAAGAAGTTTGCTGACCTGAAGCTCAGTTCATAAATGTATAAACGGTGGTTTTGTGTATATTTTATTTATGTTCTCTGCGCTAAGTAGAAAAATTATTTCTTTGCTTTTATGACATAAATATTTTCCATTTTGTTCTGTCTGTATATTGTATTACCACATTTTTCTGAGAAAAGCAGACATCTCCTTTCTGAGAATTAATATAACTGAGCTGGATTCTTTGGGGAGGAAAATTATTCTGTTTTTACAGATGGAAATATTCCATCATAGAAGGTTTCAGAGTTTCTTATCCAAGCTAGCACAGATGAAAATATGCCCTGAAAATCTTGCTTTCTGGTTCTTCATGTCACAAATCATTTATTCCAGAAAAGAAATCCGAATGAACGTGAATTATGATTGTCTTTCTGCATTTATGTAACCCCTTTCAAGTTCGAACACCTACCAACTTTGCCAAAGAAGTTATAGGAAATATATGTATTACTTAAACATTCCTATGGTTTATTGAAAGTGCTTCATGGTATCTTTTTCTCTGTTTAGTTGGAGGAGAGCAGATAAGTGCTATTGGACGGGGCCTCTGTGTGTTACTGGGTATTTCTCTGGAAGATACACAGAAGGAACTGGAGCACATGTAAGTTGTGAATTTGTAAGTCATTGCTATTTGAATCAGATACATGGTGGTTTTATATCATTCATCCATTCATCCACCCACCACCCACCCATCCTGGGATCTTCCATACTTTTTGTCTATATTTATGCCCTAGTCAATGTAGTATGGTTATCCCCCTGCTTCACATGAGGATACTGAGGAAGAGATTTTGTCAAACATTGCTCACTAAGTCAGCAGCAGAGTGGGGTCCAACTTAAGCTTCCATCCCTATTTGCTACTATAGCCATAAACCATCCTCTTAATATAAAACTGAGCCTCTTTTCTTGTGAATGATTCCATTTTTCAGTTTGAGCAATATGGCCGCTGGGCACAATTTATATATTTTTAGAATGCCCTGTAGCTCATTGTATACATAGGGATATTATGCTCAGAAAAGTAAAATTATATGCCTAAGGTCACACATATACACGCTTAGTTAAACCCTGAATCTGAATTAGAATCTAGGCTAGACCACCTGACTTGGAAGTTGGTATTTATTTTAAGGTAGGGAGGGATTTGTCATTGCCTGACTTGATTCTCCTAGTACAGGCAGATGCTGCCTCCTTCTACTCACCCTCCTCTAGTACCACTTGGCACATTTACTTCAGATGCTTGGATCTGTTTATTTTGCCCCTTGGTGCCTAGAGCATGGGTATAACCCCACTCAGTCGTTCCTTTTGTATTAGGTTGAAAATCAGGCTTGGAACCTAATTCCTGCTAAGGTGTTGATGACTGATAGGACAATTCAGTACCTCGTCAATGATTTTGGTGTTTTAATTGTTGGACACTCAGTGTCAGTGGAGTGGTCTAGTGGTAAAAACTGGATTCTGGGTCTGAATCTCTTTAGGAATTTGACATACTAGAAAGATAAATACTTAACTTGGTGGTTAAGAGTAACTCAAGACAGACTTTGGTTGTGGAGATGTGGTAATGAACAGTACCCACTACAGAAGGTACCCATATGAAGAATCAGTGAATTTGGGCCTCCCTGGTGGCGCAGCGGTTGAGCACTGGGTTGCGAAGCTGCCCGCAGCCTCTGCAGTGCCGGTTCGATCCCTGGCCTCTGGGTGAGGGTCCCGCTTGGCGCGCAGACCTCTTCTGCGGCCTGCTGCTCCCCTCAGCAGTGTGTTTCGGTCCATCTGCCTGTTCTGTTCCCCGCTCTGGCTCTGGTGAATTCTCTCACCCTCCTGCGCTTCTGACTATACCCAGTGCTTGTATAAATCAATCAATCAATCTTTAAAAAAAAAAAGAATCAGCGAATTAGTATGCATAATGTCTTCAACATCATACAAGAATGTGCTTTCAAATGGTAGATTTTAACTTTCATGGAGGAGTTCTTTGAAATTCTTCTCAAACCTGACACTGTAACTGTTATCTGGTCCTCTTCCTTGCCAAGGCTATATCCATATGTCATCCTTTGTCATCCACATGTAGAGGGAACACCTCTCTGGGGCTTAAGGAGCATGTGACATAGTTGTCAATTCATAATGTCATTGTGTCTTTCCCAGGCCTTTTTGTATGTTTACATTGACCATGAGTTTTCTCCAGAATATTTGCTGAATTGTTCATTTTGAATAGCTCCAAGAAAAGGTATAAAATGGGGTATTTATTCCTGTATAAAATTGAATTATTCCATAAAAAGTTAAAATTTGACCTGTATCTTGACATATCCATCAACTTGTATCTATCCACAATGTGAAGCTCTGCTCTAGAGCTCCAAAAACATGTGATACCTTTCATTGCTTAAGGTTGAAAATAAGTCCAATAATTGGAGGGATTGGCAAAAAAAAAAAAAGGAAATCCCAAAATAATACTACCCCACATTATAGATGAGGAAACTGAGGTGTTGAGTGGGTTACCAAATTGCCCTCTAAACAGTAGTCAGTATCATTACCTTAATTTGGCAGATGCTGGTGTGCTGCAACATGGAGTGTGTAGGGCTTGTGTTTCCTCAGCTAGCTCTCACTGCTGCCTTTCACCTTAGGGTCCGGAAGATTTTAAACCTGCGAGTGTTTGAAGATGAGAGTGGGAAACACTGGTCAAAGAGTGTGATGGACAAACAATATGAGGTGTTGTGCATCAGCCAGTTCACCCTTCAGTGCATCCTGAAGGGGAACAAGCCCGACTTCCACTTGGCGATGCCCACGGAGCAGGCAGAGAGCTTCTACAACAGCTTCCTGGAGCAGATGCGCAAGACTTACAGGCCAGAGCTCATCAAAGGTAGGCAGATCAAACCTGCCCTGCAGGGGGGTCTCTGGGGAATGGGGAGCAGTTGTAGCATCTCTTTTTCTAGAAAGGTTGTTGTTTATGCTTACTACTTAAGAGGGCAAATGGTTGCTGCTGCTGTAATACATGCCCTCTGAATGCCCCGATACCATTTATTCTTCATTCTTCTATTCACATTTGAAAATGTTTAGCAACCCAGAAGTGTTTTTGAGATAATGGTGTGGGTTTTTTGGTAGCTTACCTTATCTGGCAGAGAAGTAAATCTGAGCCACAAATATGACCCAAATGCTAACTTAAATTTCTTGTAGGATATTAAAATAAAAAAAGTGAAATTAATTTTAAAAGTATATTTTATTTATACATCTAAAATATTAGGGTTTTTCCATGTAATCAAAATAAAATTATTAATGAGATAATTTACCTTCCTTTTTATTTTTATTATAATTTATTTATTTATATATATTTTACATCACTGTTCATTTTTGTACATTGTTTGCTTTCTCCTCTCGGGTGTATTCCCCAAAGAATTCCCACTACCAATTCACCCATGCGCCATCACCATGGTCCCCTGTGCTCTTCCCCACCCCTGTTTTGGTCCCTCTCCCTCATCCTCTCCTGCAGAATCTCTGATTTATAGTTGCCTGTTAATTTGTTGTTGTTATTATTTCTTTCCCCTGATCCCTTATTTCCCTTTATTAAATACTAAAGTCATCTAAACATCTCAGTTGTGCCATATTCAAATGTCCCGTAGCTATGTATACTTAGTGACTTGCACCTCAGGCATGTAGGTTTAGGTCTTTGCTTAGCTGCTTGTTGTCCGGAATGCCAACCTAGTTTGATTGACTAAGATTTAGTCTAGAAAATGTCCTAGAATGTTGGTCCTGGTTTGTAGGTGGATTATATATATATCTGAAATTTTGAATCTTTTTAAGAGGGCCATTCATTTCTAGTCTGTTTTCATGTTTCTCATGTTAAATTGCGTTCAGTACTCTTGTGTTTTGCTTTTTACTTCAAAGTAACTAGCAAAGAATATTCAGCCTCCTTTGGACATGCGTCTCAGGGTGGGACATTTCTAAGTAAGAGACATTTAATAGCTACCTACAATTTCTTTCTTTCTTTCTTTCTTTTTTTTTTTTTTTAAAGATTTATTTATTTATACAAGCACTGGGTACAGTTAGAAGCGCAGGAGGGTGAGAGAATTCACCAGAGCCAGAGCGGGGAACAGAACAGGCAGATGGACCGAAACACACTGCTGAGGGGAGCAGCGGGCATGGCAGGAGAGGTCTGCGCGCCTTGTGGGACCCTCGCCGGCAGCTGGGAATCGAACCAGAGCTACAGAGGCTGCTGGCAGCTTTGCAGCCCAGTGCTCAACAGCTGTGCCACCAGGGGAGGCCCTCTTTTTTTTTTTTTAAAGATTTATTTGTTTATGCATATAAGAACTGGGGTACAGGCCAGAGGTGTGGGGGTGAGAGGATTACCAGAGACAGAGTGGGGAACAGAACAGGTAGATGTACAGAAATAACACTGCTGAGGGGAGCAGTGAGCGAGACAGGGGAGGTCTGCTGCACCATGTGGGTATCTCCCTGGCCGGGGATCGAACTTGTGCTGCAGTGGCTGCGGATAGCTTCATAGGTTGTGTCTTAACCCCTTGCACCACTAGGGAGGCCCACCTACCTACAATTTCTTTTGGTGCCATCTTACCCCTAATGTTGTTTATAGTTAACTCTTTAGTGTTTCTGTACTTAAACTGCCTTTAGATTTAACAAACCTAGACCCCATGTTTATTGGATCCATTTTCAACCTTAAGTAAAGTTTTTGGAGTTTTGGAATAAAGCTCTACATTGAGGATTGTCAATTCATCAGATTTGCTCAAATTAGATGAGTGATATTTCTACCCCTCTTTGGCATTTCCTTTCATTTTAATTATCTTTCTTGTGTAAAGTAATCATTTGAATAAGGACAAATGGATTCAACATGATCAGGACACTCCTGCCTTAAATCAAGTCCCACTCTATACTTGTGTCCTGGTAGAAAAGAATATATTAATATTTGCCTCTCTTGGAAATATCCAAGTTTAGAACTCAATTTATAAGTCCAGTCATGGATGTCTCTAGTATTTTTCCCACCCTGTGTCCACTGGGATCCTTCGACATGGCTTTGCTGCAAACATTTCTTCCCAGAATTAGTAATTAAGTGAACGCCTCTGGATAATTATTTTTCTTTTGTTGAGCCAGGGATTAAATGCTGCCAGCTTTGTGTTCTCTGCTTGATGTCTGTGGAATCATCTTGTTTCTGAGTAGTCTCAGATGAATTTTAAAATGCACTGAAGTTTTTTGAAAGGAGAGCACTACGAATATCATAAAAGCATCAGTGAAGACAATCTAAAGTGGGGGAACTCTGATGACTGTTAAGGAGTTCTTCAATGAAAACAAAACTTTTATCTAAGTCTTTAAAGAGGAGTGTTTTATGTATTATTTGGTATTTTGTGTTCCTAAAAACACCTTTTACTTTTTGAAATGATATGTATTTTATCCAGGTGATTATATGAAGTGCCTGAAGTGTAAATAATATGGTTTTATAATGGATCAGAATTTAAGCTTATTGGGAGGTAATATGTCTGATCATTTTAATGAAAAATTGACATGAATTTGTGCAAAGAATTTTAATCAAAATTTATTTAAACTCCTTGGAATTTCAGATATCAATGGTGTATTACTTGTTTGTTTTACATTTTATCTTCTTTAAGCTTCATGAAATAAAAATACAGGTTATATGTTTGCTGTCTTTTTCTTAATTTTGAGAATTTGGCTTCTAGCTCCAATATGGAAAGCCCACTCTGAGCTGAAGGTTATGATGGCATGCAAACTAACCGCTAAATATATTTAGGATTTTCAGGGGCACTTTAGCAACTTTCAAACTAAGGTTTTTTTTTTTTTTTCCAGTTTTATTGCAATGTAATTGATATACAACACTCTACTTGTCTTGGTTGTAGAACATGAGGTTTTGATATATGTATTGTGAAATGATTGCCACAATAAGTTCAGTGAATTTCCAATATAGTTTCAGTTTTTTCCTTGTGATCAGAACTTTTAAGATCCACTTTTCTAGCAACATTCATGTATATGATATAGTATGTTAAAATTAACTATAGTCATCATTTTATATGTTACATCCCCAGAACTTATGAATCTTATTACTAGACTTTATTTTTTATTTATTTTTATTTTTTAAAGGTTGAAAAAAGGTTTATTTACAAGGGAAAGGGAATGAGGAAATGTACAACTCAGGGAGAAAAGAGGGAGATAAATTTTTTTTTAAAGTTCTTTTAAAGATTTATTTATTTATTAAGACACAGAGTGCAGCCTGGATTAAGAAACAAAACCCAACCTTTTGCTGTCTCCAGGAAACACATTTAGCTACAGAAGATAAAAATAGACTCAAAGTTAAAGGATGGAAAACAATCGTACAATCAAATGGACCAAAAAAGAAAGCAGGAACAGCTATACTTATATCAGATAAAACAGATTTCAAACTCAAAAAGATAAAAAGAGACCCCAATGGTCACTACATTATGATCAAGGGGACAATACTTCAAGAAGAAATAACACTCATTAACATACACTCACCAAACGAAGGAGCACCAAAATATATCAGACAACTGTTGTCATCTCTGAAAACAGACATCAGAGAAAACACATACGTAGTGGGAGACTTCAACACACCACTATCAACAATGGATAGATCAACAAGACAAAAAATAAGTAAAGAAACTAAAGCTCTAAATAAGGACCTAGAGCATTTGGGCTTAATAGACATCTATAGAACACTAAACCCCCAAAAAACGGAGTACACATTTTTCTCAAGCACACACGGACACGGATCATTCTCCAGGATCGATCACATACTGGGGCACAAGACAAACATCAACAGATACACCAAGATTGAAATCATACCAACCATCTTTTCTGACCATGAAGGCATCAAACTAGAAATAAACCATAAAAAGAAGGCAAGGAACCCTCCTACCTCATGGAGATTAAAAACCACACTACTGGAAGACCACTGGACTAATGAGATCAGAGAAGAAATTAAAAAATTCTTTGAATTGAATGACAAGGAGGACACCAATATCCTAAATGTATGGGATGCAGCAAAAGCAGTAATAAGAGGAAAATATATAGCAATAGAAGCTCACATCAAGAAACAAGAAAGAACTCAAAGAAACAACCTAATCTCGAAGCTCAAAGAACTAGAAAAAGAACAACAAAAAAACCCCAAAACCAGTAGAAGAAAAGCAATAATAAAAACCAAAGCAGAAATAAATGAAATTGAAACTAAAAAACAATCCAAAAGATCAATGAAACCAAGAGCTGGTTCTTTGAAAAAATCAATAAAATAGACAAACCCCTAGCCAGGCTCACAAAGGAAAAAAGGGAGAAAGCACAAATAAACAGGATCATAAATGAAAGAGGAGAAATCACAACGGACACAGCAGAAATCAAAAGAATAATCAGTAACTACTATGAACAGTTATATGGAAACAAGTTCAACAATCTAGAGGAGATGGACAAATTCCTACAACTCTACAATCACCCAAAGCTAGATAAAGAAGAAATAGAACACCTAAACAGACCAGTTACAAGCAGCGAAATTGAAATGGTAATCAAAAACCTTCCCAAAAACAAAAGCCCAGGACCTGATGGATTTACAAATGAATTCTACCAAAGATTCAGAGACGAATTAGTGCCTGTCCTTCACAAACTCTTCCAAAAAATTGAGAAGGAAGGGACAATACCAAACACGTTCTATGAAGTCAACATTACACTAATACCAAAACCGAACAAGGACAACACAAAAAAGGAAAACTACAGGCCAATCTTGCTAATGAACACTGATGCAAAAATCCTCAATAAAATTTTAGCTATCAGAATCCAACAATGTATCCATAAGATAATTCACCACGACCAAGTAGGATTCATTCCAGGGACACAAGG